GGATTGAGATCAGGACTAAATAAATGTGGGATTAGAGGACCAGCATTACAATGATATGTARTTATTTGGAAAATAGGAAACAGTTTGTACAGGTACATGATGTAAGATCTGAACTATGTGGAATTACACGTGGAGTTCCTCAGGGTTCTATACTTGGACATAAATTGTTTATCTTATACGTGAATGACTTGGTCARTGTGTCTGGATCATTTAAATGCATTTTGTTTGCTGATGATACCACTTTATTTTGGTTAAAGACAGAATGAATGTTAGGGAAAGTGCAAACAGAATTTGTGAAAATAAAAAAAACTGCTTTAAACTGAATAAATTATCATTAAACTTAATTATACGACATTTACAAAGAGACAAAGAACCGTTGACATTCCATTTAAAGTGGATGGTGTAGAGATCAGTGGAGTCAGTGAAGTTTTTGGGTGTTATTATTGATGAGAAACTGACGAGGAGGCCTCATATTAATTACTTAAGAAATAAACTAGATAAATCTATTGCATTGCTTTATTATAATGTCAGGGACTTGTTTAATGACAAAGCTCTGTAAATGTTATATAACACATTAATTGTTCCACACTTGGTCTTTTGTGTTGAAGTATAAGTAAAGCATGTAAGACTATCACACATCCTGTTTTTGTTGTGCAGAAAAGGGCTGAGTTATCACTTGGAAACATCACTATTATCCATCTATTAGTTTGTAAACTGAAATTATTGAAATTCTTTGGTTTGGCTGATTATAATACTTAGTTAGTTTTGTAAAAAGCACACTGAAACACATTAACCTTCAAACATCCAGATAAACTCTGTGAAGACAGAGAGCTGTTATAATCCAAAGGGACAGAGATGTTCATGAAATATAAATTTATAAACTGTTTAAAGAACGCTGCAGCTCAATCCAAGGAGTCAGATTGTGGAATAATCTGGAAGATGATGTTAAAAGTGCCACATAAATGTATGTTTAAGAGAATGATAAAGATTAGATAGAATATGAAATGGTTTAATGTGTAGCCATTAAATTTGTTATTGTACAAACATTTGATG